CTTAGGGTCCAAGGTTCTGAGAGTCCAAAACGCCAAGGATTCAATGATCCAGGAGTCCAAGATTTTAAGAATCCTAGAGTCTAAGGATCCAAGGAAACTAGAGTCCAATGATTCCAAGAATCTTAGGGTCCAAGGTTCTGAGAGTCCAAAATGCCAAGGATTCAAGGATCCAGGAGTCCAAGATTTTAAGAATCCTAGAGTCTATGGAACCTAGACTTCAATGATTCCAAGAATCTTGCGGTCCAAGGATCTGAGCATTCAAAATGCTAAGGATTCAAGGATCCTGGAGTCCAAAATTTTTAAAAGTCCTGAAGCAAGGATCCAGGGATCCATAAATCCAGGAATCTAAAGAAAAAGCAAAAGCCTCAAATCCAGCACAAATATAGTACAAAATACTAAGCTCCGGTGTCCCACGAAACGATCGAACTTATTTTTAAGTCTTTACAAATCCATTTGATACGCGTACAAGTCGACTCGTATCGTTACAAATATGCGTTAAGCCGATCGGCAGCAGTACCGCGAAATCGTATCCACGTCGTTTTACCTCTGTAATTATCCTGAGCATCGTTTCCGGTTTACAATGCGTTACCATCCATCTACAGGCAGGAAGTCAGGCAGTTCACATACTAATCTCGGCGAATTAAAATGCACCACGCGCACACGCAGCTTCTTTTTTAGTGGCGCAATGCGACGCATTGAGTCACGCTCGCGTAGCAGTCGAACGGCAAAAAATACCTTGCGGTTTCTAGCGCGGCTCGTAGCATCTGCGCCTTCAACGTAAAAGCTGCACCATAACAAGAAAATCACCGTCGAAAAAATGATAAACAATTCCGAGATACGAGCTCCATTGATAAGTTCACAGAAATCCAACTTCACGAAACCAAACGTAGAAACGAACTTGTTAAATCAAATCTTTCTTAACGACTCCATAATTTTATGCTCCAAATTCTGACTCACGCACTAAGGAAAATTTGTTCCAAGTTGCAAAATTGTGATAAAAAAAAAATGTAAACCATGTCGTATACTACTTCCACTGTACCAAATCGAATCGTACTTGTAAAACTGTCGTTCATTGTGAATCACGACACCTCCATTGTCACTTCGACGCCACCCAAATACGACCGACGGACCGACAAGGCCATCCAAGTATCAACAAGTGTACTTAAGTCGTACATACTCTCGTCCAATTAACGAATAAATCGGAAAATTTGCTGAAATAATCAGCGGGACTCTGTCACTTTCATCGCGATACCACGGTACCGTTCCCAAGCAACGTGTCCACTAGAGGAATGTCCCCGTGTCGTTATCGGTGCCCCACCAAGTGCCTCGAAATGTATCCGTCGGGAACACGACAGGGCCGATTAAATCGCGAGTGGCCATGCCACGGGGAACAAGCTTCTCGACGTGGATAGGCGGGTCGGTGGACGATTCGCGGCCGGACACGGTCGCGGATTCGTGGCGGGCCAAAGCAGGAACACGCTGGGAAACAGGTTCTGCCGAGGGCAGAACCGTAGATCCCCGAGATGTCATTGAGAAGGCGAATGGTAAGCGTCCAAAAGACGCGCGCGCGTGTGTGAAGGAAGGGATTTCACTGTAAATGTCAAGCGACGTGCACGTAAAACGTCCCTACGATTTGAAGGAAAGTCGTTCAAGCGGAGGAATGCTCTCGAAGAGAGACAGAGAGAGAGAGATGTGAACGTCTCTGTACACCTTTTTCTCCCCGCGAATTTCACGGTGTCTCGCCGGGGCCGTTTTAAACCCCCGTGCAACCTGGTCTCTATAACACGACCACGAATATCCGACGACTCGTGAAATTGCACGCGACGCAGCGACGTTTTCGATCTTTACGCCCGATAACCGGGCAAAGCAAGTGCAACTGGGCCGATAAGCGGCTTGCTCGCGCAGCCACAGCCTCTGTGTGCGTACACATCGGGGCGAGAGAGTGCGAAAGTTATAAATTCCTACAGCCGCGATCATTTCGCCTTAGCGAAACAGAAGAGAGAGAGAGATTTCTCTCGTTCTCTCTTTTGTCTCTTACCCTTTCTCTCTTACTCTTTCACCGGTTCAACCTCTTTTTCCACGTCTGCCCCCTGCCACTCTGTCCTTCTCATTCCTCTCTTCATCCTTTCAATCCTTCTATCTATCCCCTTTCTTTCTCTCTTAGGCGAATGCCTTCGGCCAGACGCTAATGCCTTGAATGAAGTACGGTTACTCCGGCTTTAGTCTTTGGTATTTTATCAGTGACATTATTATTCCCGCGTCGGCGACGCTAGTTCGAATTTATAGACCAGGCAGAAATGTCTCGGTTGTTTCGCAATCGCCATATTTTCGCGTCCCTGGAGGAACCTCGTTTCATACGTCTCTCTCTCTCTTTCTCTTTCTCGTCCAGTCTCTGTTGCGTACACGTGCGTATATACGTAGCGTGCGGATTCTTGAAGGAGCGTGAGTATATTCGGAGAAGCAGATTCTCGAGGTGTTACGTCTGGAAATTTCGGGGGGGACAGCTTTGATTCAACGATGATCATCAAGCTGAACGTTGGGAGGGTTCCTTCGCCCCTGTCAACGATCGCTCCCCTCGACATCGTGGAAATCCCACCTACACGATCGAGGCTCTCATGGTTTAGCGGGTCTAACGGTTCGCGCCGTTGGAAACAGCTGTCGGCGTGCTTTTTATATTCCACTTTCCATCTCGACGGTCGAGGATCCTCCTCGAGACGCGTTTCCAGCTTCCGTACGAAAACGAATCTCGGGAATCGCGAATTGGGGACGGGACAATGTCCCGTAAATTCGATCAATGGGTCGTTCATTTTTTTTTCTTTGTTTATGAGATGGATGCTTTGTAGTTGATTTGTGAGCAGATGAATTCTGTCTTGTCAAGTTAAACTTTGCCAATTGAAAAAGTTCACAAAGGTAGACATTTGAGTGTGACTTGGAATCCAGCGAGAAAAGGACTTGACATATTTTTTTGTTTATGAGAAGGATGTTTTGTAGTTTCTATTGTTTATTTGTCAAGTAAAATGACACACTATGTCAATTCAAAAAGCTCGAGAGATAGGTATTTAACTGTGACTCAGGATCAAGCGAAAAATGAACCCAACAGTCCTTGATCCACTGCACGAAGCCAACGACATTGACGGCAGCCTTTCTAAGCTCCCCTAGTTTTTGTCTAATCCCGGCATGGAAGTTAAGAGATAAGCCTACTGGTTTGCATACAAGGAATGTTGAACGGAATACTTCCATTATCTCCAAGGAAATCCTACTCTATTTTCTTACCTACCACTACTATAATACTATAAAATTCCCCGCTAATATCTCCTCCAACTTCAAAGCTTTCTAATTAAACCAAATTGCCCAAAACGACCACTCTTATCGAACTCTCCTCCGACAATTTACCCAAACGTAACCGCGCGATCCAGCCAAAGCACCTAAAGAAAAAAAAGATCCCCCAACAATCGGTGCCAAAAACAATTCCCAAACGGGCATCGAGAAGAGTGTCCCTACGCAGCATTTTTCCAGCGGGTAAGCGTTGCACGGCCATCGACCAGAAGCGTTCTCTCCCTCATCTCGAAACGCATTGGTTTTTGCAGCCGGTCCGGTTCTCTCGGCGGCACCGACCTACCGGAACGCGTGGAACTCGCCCAGCATCCATCGAGGAGGAGTGCTGGAATATCGGCGAGACCCCGGTGTGTCGGTGTGCTGCGGAGAACTCACGACTCACGACTCGCGCGGACCGCCGGAATGAATCGAGAGAGGGGAGGGGAATCGTTCTTGAACGAGGGGTGGGCGAAAGGGAGGGGGGAGAGAGTCTGTGTGCCGCGAGGAGTGGGGAGAAGGTTTGGTTCACGAGAAACCGCGGAGGTAGGGTAGGGGAGTGACGAGGGGAAGCAGGGCCTGGTGTATACGCGGTACCAGTCTTACCCCCACCACCGCTCGGACCGTTTCGTGAGAGGGGAGTGCGTGGAACGGAGAGCAACGGCGGAGAGCAAGCGTAGAGGAGGCGTAGAGTGTGCGCTGGGTGGAAGTTTTCGGTGCCGTCGCCAGTGGCAGAGCCAGTTTCTCGTAGCATCGGCGAGCCGGCGGCGTCGAGGCGCCCCTTCAGTATGAAGCCGACGACCGTGCCAGCTGCAGCTGCTGCACCTGTCGCTCCGTCTAACGCGACAGCTACGCACCGATCATCATCCTCTCTGTGGACGCTTCTCTTGAGATCGGTACGCAGCATCTCGATAGCCACGAGGGGCGTTACTACATGGATACCGTGTTAAGGGCTCCGATTTCGTTCATCGAGAAGGACCTGAGAGAGATACGTTGACGTACGCGCACCTTGGATAAACCCCAAGTTCGTGGATCTATTCAGTGGAATAATAGAGAAAAGGTAGGAGAGGATCCGATTCCGTGATACACACCGAGAGAGAGAGACGCCACGCGTGGAGAGAGAGAGGATCGTCGGGAAACCTGTCCTCCATCTCTCTCTCTCTTCCTCCCTCTCACTGCCACCGTGTTCTCTCTCTCTTCTCTTCCTCTCCGTCTCTCCCTTTCGGCCGGTTCTTCCTGGACGTGATCGGTGATCGGCTTGTGTTCCTCCAGTGTTTCTTATTTCCTTACCCTCGCCGGGTAAGGTTGCTTCTTTCTTCGTCTTCGTTGTTCCTGCTGCTGCTGCTACCACTGGCTGCTGGGCTCCTCTTTTCGTCGCGTTCCTCCTCCCGACCGTCGCGAGGAGTTTACACGAAGGGACACACTGGTGATATACGTACACGTAACGGCGGTGAAGAAAGAGGAGACGCGTGCGGGACTCTCCGTATAATAAAAGTGAAAACTCGTTCCTCCGGTGTCGTGGTTCGTTCGGCTGCTGCTCCGGCTGCTGGCTGCGCACTCATCGCGAAGGAGAATTCAAGACAGGCCTGTTTCTCCCCATTTTCTGGCCCTGCCGTCCTGTCCCTGTCTCTGTCTCGTCGATCCTCCAACGTTTGGATATTTCGGAGTTACCGTACCTTCAAGAATTCCCTTGGATCGCCGGGACCACGTCTGGTATCGAACGCTGCTCCTCCAACGTTGGATCGAACTGGCAGCAGCGTGCATCAGTGGCGAGGTGAGTCCTTCGAACGATAAATTCCAGCACCCTGGCACGAGGGTCAAGAGCGGTCAGACCTCTCGCGCGTCGCGACGTGTGTAGACTGGTTTTCGAGTTCTAGGACTCTCTTTCTCTCTCTCTTCGTCCGCCTATGTACTCGTTACACCTATCTCTTTCTCACGCTTCATCTCTCCCCGTTGCTTTGTCTCTGCTCCTTTTTTCTCTCTCTGTCTCTCTGTCCATCGAACGTACCGGTGATAAATCTTCGCGATCTCGCTGACCGTTGACTGAGCAAATTACCACCGTGATCCTTCATCTTCCTATTATCGAGCAGACACTACGTCGACGAGGGGGATAATATCCCGACGGCGCGACCGTGGGACGACGGGGTAGCCGCGTCGTCGACGAGCCAGCTTTACGGTTCGGTTGAAAAGTGAACGCGCCACGCGATAACGTCGCCGAGGAAATTAGCGTGATCAAATTCAGGACCGACAATGGCCACGATCCTTCGATCACACAGCTCAATCGTTTCAGCAATCATCACCTCGCCGTGTTCACTAATTTTCTCGATAATTCCAAGAGTTTCTGTGGAAATTGTGAAGTTTGGGTGGGTCACGATGTGTGGCTAGGTTTGAAAAGTAATTTCTACGAATTTGCTGGGTGATATTGGCAGAGGAAAATGATAAAAACGTGTCGGTCGTTGTACCGATCGTAATAAATCATTCTAACCGCATTACGGAGCAAGGAAAATTGCCGGCGTGATCTTTCATCTTCCCATTATCGTTCGAGTAGCACGGTCAGGATCACGCTGATCCTTGTTCCGCGGGTAAAGCGCCGATTCAATTGACTCGGAGGAATCACGCGACTAGTCGACGTTCCCCGAACCGCGAGGCTGACCTATGATCAACGGGACGCGTAATGAGACCTTCGGCGGATCGTTTTCAACCGATCGATGATCCTCGTTCCCGTGATCTTAATCCCCATGAGAGGATGCTGAACTTTTCATCCACGGTTGACACGTGACAGTTGAACGAGGCTCGTTTGGAAATAATCGCGGATCGTTGGTAAACACGACCGAGGAAATTTACCATTTTAACACGGTTGCTTGTCACCCTGCACTGTCTTTCGCCTTACTTTTTTCAATACTTGCATCAATATTTGCGTAACAATGCACTTGTGCGCACGTAATATTTTTTAACACTAGGTTTACGGGACGCGTGATTTTCACGCATTTCGAATTTCACGAGGAAAATTACAGAAACCGTTTACCGCTGATGCTTATTATAAATTCTATAGAAATTTGGAATCACCTGCCAATTTACATCAATATTGAATCCGCTACTTTATTGATTTGAAACTGATGTTGCGAAGATCAATAGCACTTTACCTCATTTCAATTGATTTGAATGATAAAAAATTCGTTAAAAAATTATTGCAAATGCAAACTTTTTTTTAAGAATTTTGGTGCAACTTGCAATGCACAGTGATTACAAACATTTGGCCGGTCAAACATAAGTTAGTAGTGTATAATATGTTGCTTTTTAAAGAAAATCTGCGGTTTCGTTCACGTGTCAATCTGTCCGTAGAGATAGGTATATAACAAATGTCCGTAAACCTATTGTTAAATACTCAAATTGTGCATTTCGTATAGCGTATTGCACGTAGATGCAAATATTACCAACGGTATATTCTTTTACCATTTTTCGCTGAGAAATTGAAACTTTCGGGAGATTATTGTTGTTCGATTAGAACGATCATTTTTGCAATTCGAGCGAACGTTGCGCTTCGATTCGGTGAAATGTAATAAAAGCTGCGAACGTGTTAACACGGATCGTAAAACGATGGGACCTCTGAACGAGCAAAACGATCGCGTTCCAAATAGCAATCGTTCGAATTACGAGTTAACCAGTAAACGTTTTCAATTAACCGGGTATAAATCGATCTATCAATGGCTCGTAAAGCATACACCCGTTTCATCAACGATCCCTTCTCGATCGGTTTAACGATCCCCCGAGTGACCCACATAAGCTGTTCTCGAAACCGGTGGAATTCCTCGCGCGTTCAGAAATGGTAGAAAAGTTGGCTGGAGGCGATACGTTCAACACCTCCGTCGGTTCTATCAATGACGAAAATAGCGAATCGTTTTGCTTATTCATGTATCCTTTCCTCCGCCGAAATAACCAGTTTCCTCGGGAAGGTTTCCTTCGACACGGGTCGATGACCCCGTTACACGAATCCCAGGCCATTGTCGACCTCGACCTCGTGGTATAACGCGGAATTACCCTCCAACGCGATAGTTAAAAGAGTCAACGTAACGTAACGGAAGGTCTGAGGAGGCCAGAGGCGGTGTTTGAGAAGGAAGAAATTGCATCGTTGAGAGACAGTGTGTTGGATCGTTTAGCAAGTTTCGTATTTCGAGCCGAGTTCGAGAGATGAGAGGATTAATTGAAATGTGTACTGTACTTGGTTAGAAAAGTTACGAGAAACAATAGCAGTGAAATTTCTCGGATTTTTGAAGTGAAGATCGTATGTGAAATGAAGTGTAGAGAAAAAATTATGTGTCACACCCACTGTATTCTCCGGGCATTGCTCCATCAGACTGCTATCTGTTTGGTGTATTACGCTTTTAGTGGGCACGAAATTTAAATGTCCATGCAAATTCGAGATAATCGATGTAAATATCGATATAAATTTTTTAGTGGGCACGAAATTTAAATGTCCATGCAAATTCGAGATAATGGATGTAAATATCGAGATACGTTGTTTAGCGGACAGAAATTTAAAATATCCAGTCTATGAGAAATAATATTGGAAAATGTTTCAATGACAAAACCGAAGAAATTTTATAGCGATGTCACAGTTGCATAATTGCTTTGCCAAAAATTTCAAATACCGACTGAGAAATAACGAAAAACCGAATAAATTTCACAGCGATAGCATAATGACTTCGTTAAAAAGATAAGAAAAAGTTGTAGAATGAGAGAGTGTCCACATTCTTTCGCAGAATTGATGTTGGATATACCGATCTAAACGGCAGAGAAATAAAGGACAGGAACTTATTGGACGACGAGTTCGACCATTGGAACGAAGGTTAACGTTTCCCACCATAGACGGCACTTCCGTTTAATTTCCACCGCAGCCTGGAAATCGTTCGTCCGTTCACGAATGCAACGAGCACGTACGAGATTGTACACGCAACTAGACAATGCATAAACGAAAGGATGCAACGAAAGAGTTACTCCCTCCGGCCTCTGTGAGAGCTAGGTTTCCCCTAGGAGATCCACAGTCTTCAACCTATTTACATTGTTCCACGCTGCCGGGCGTCATAACAGTAATTAAACGTAATCTAACTTCGGAAGCTGAGCCGAGAGCGAAGAAACCGGGGGATGCAATTAAGTTTGAACCCGCGCTGGCAATAATTACTCCCGATTGCGTCTCTGTTTTCCTGGAAAGTGGCCTAATCCACTTTCCGACAGTCCATTCAATTATGATGGCTTATAATTCAGCGCTTCTTTTTCACAAACTGCGCCGTTTATGTGCAAATCAAACGCAATTTTAACGTTGAACATAATGGAGACTGTTTTTTTAAGAGGGAATTCGTTAGTTGGTCGATGCAATGGGCAGATCTTCCACATTTTGAGCGATACTCCTCCATTCGTCGGGGAAACTGACGAATTTCCTCTGGGAAAGAATACGGCGACTTTGAGTCGTCGAGATTTTATAGAGAAATTTATTACGATTGTGTGCTTAAGTGAAGACCAAAGTGAGAAGAAGAATTGAAAGTGCGATCAAAATTGATCTTTCTACCAAAAGTTTGACTCCTAACTCGGAAATTTCTCAGAACACGAAACGCGTTAAAGAGAACAATACTAATGGATCCTCGATCCTTCTGAGACTATTTTATAATCTTCACTACTTTGTGTTATAAAGAAAAAAAAAAAAAAAATACTGCGTCTCTGAGTCGACAGAGTCGTCAAGACTTGACGGAAAAGGCACCGAACTGTGCAGAAGAATTGAAAGTATAATCCAAAATTTCGCCGTCGTTCTTCAACTTTCCATCGAAAAGTGTTCCTCGCACGAAACACGAAACGCGTTAAAGAGAATAATACCGATGGATCTTCGATCCTGCTGAGACTAATCGACGAGTGGTACGGTTCACGAGGCAAGTTCACGGAGAAGACGGCTTAATGTCCCGCTGATCGACGAAGAAGAAGAAGAAGAGGACGACGAGGACGAAAGAAGAGGGGATGAGGAACGTGGCCGTTTTCATCCAGCAGCGCGAAACGCCGAACACGCTCTACCCTGCAATCTTGGCCTAATCGGCGATTCATCTGACAGGCGGAAGAGGAATGCAAATGATAGATCCCGTCTCTGGTGACGCAACACTTGTCCGCGTTCGCGCAACCCGATCGTTTCACGGTCAAAACGTGCGACGCACCGCTGATCCAGCTCTCAGCACTGCTAGCACGCACACACGGACACAGTGTGTGTTGTTTTGACGAAGGAAAAGTCGAAACGTTTGCTGTTTTAGAATGTTTGGGAAACATTAATCTTGTGGAAATAAGATTTATCTACTCGTTCTACGTGTGAATATTTAAGATCGAGGTCGAGATATCACCAGTCGGCCAATTCTTCTTTGCTCCGGCTGCAAATAAGCTAATTGTCTGGCTGCGGGAGATCTATTAGTGAAAACCACTTGGTACGTTCGTACAGCGAGGGAAGAATTTTCATTTTCGAATTTTATTTTCCAACCTCTGATGCGTCGCTTCTAGACAAAGGATATCTCTTGGAAAGTAAGGAAAGGAGGTTAGAAACTGTATCTTTGAGCTTGTCAATTGGATGTGTACATGCAAAGATGAGAAGATGGTTAGAAGGAGGCAGAAGTAATTCACCGTTTCACTCTTCCATTATGCAATTTCGTATGATTTCATTCGTCGTTGTTATCGTGTAGACCAATAATGAATACACGTGTGTCCCAATTTCACGATTTATCCCGTGTGAGACTCGGGCAAAGCGTG